TTATAGCTTGAACTGTTTTTATGGGATCTGCGTGAATTTGAGTTCAAATTTCCCTCCAAACTCTCCAGCTTTTTCTCTTTTGTCCAATTAGATTTCCTAACATCATTTTTTAAAAGTTTATTCATGAAGTTCTGATTCACAGAAGCCTTTTCGGATGCGCTAAATTTACTTGAAAGTGATGACAAATCTATTTTCCTTTAAAGAATTTGTGACGCATTCTACTGCAATGAATAATTTGACGAAATTTTGTTTGATGTGATGACAGGTTACTTTATCTACTTATTGTATTCCTTCCTGATAGTGATCCTGATAGTATTGTATTCCTTCCAGATGAAGACGTTTCCGAATGCATACTAACATTTGAAGTTCGATCAAATTTCTGCAGATTTCTTAAATTTTCTTCGCTGGTACTAGTACGAACTGTTCTTTTACCAGATTCTGCACTCTTTATCATTTTCCGACTGCTTTTCGGCTAGAATTTTTATCATCTAACTAATTTTTTCCTGATTTCTCATTTTTTGAAGACGACAATGGAAATATTTCAATTGATTTTTGATTTGTTCTTTCAAATGAAATCCTTTTTGCTTTATTATTAGTTGAAATATCTGATCAATGCTTACTAATCCATACTTCCTCTCTTTTTAATTGTGCTTCCACTTTTTTCTTTTTTCCTTTTCTCTTAAAAAATTCCTTTTCATTTCGAGCTTTTTTTCCAAATTAAGTCGAAGACTTAATTCTCTCCTTAAATTTCGTTCTCCATCATTTCTCATTTTTGTAAGCTATCCACTTCTGTTGATTGCTCTTTTCTTCGTCTCCCAATCATTTTCTTGTCTTTTAACTGTTTTGTGTAGAAACTTTCTCAACTACTTCTGATTCTGAACATTTTTTTTTTCTGACGATTTATTCTTGGACTGTTTCTGGCTCTTAGCAGTAGTAGAAGTGCTACTACCAGATGTGCCATAATCATCGCTTACCTACTTTTCGATTGAGGGTGCTATTTGCTACATCTCTTTTTTGGGAAGCCAAAAAATTTTGGCTTCCCTGTGATAACCGATCGTCACCTTTATTAGAATGTTTGGGTCTATTTTATAGTTTCGCTTATCGAACATTCTTTGACCAGAAGGCAATTTTCGTCGACATTTCAAACTTCTTACTGATGTATCACTGCTGTTATTCTGCATTCTTGAATCGCTTGACTTGAAATTACTACATTTGAAGGTTTTCTATAAAAATAATACCCATGCTGATACATAGGTCATATTTATACGTGCATCATATTACGTAATCAGAAAACTGTCCATTTCATCTCCTGAACCATATCTTATATTTCAAAGTAATAATATTTGAAACCTGTTCCTTTAAGTTTATTTTAGTATACATCTGATGTTTTAGACTTTTCAGATCTTGCTTCCGGAATTTTTGCAGGTGTTAGTTTGAAATCCTGTATTTCAGCATTTCTCCATTTGATTTGAAAAGCAACTCCATTTGAATTTATCACGATCGTATTGATAATTGATTTGTATTTGGATGAATTATTGTTAAGATTTGATGAAGAAGAACATTATCCAACGACATTGATAATGACATTTTGGTTTTGGAAGTTAATCGATTACTGTTTTGTTTCTTTTTAGAATAAATTTATAATTCAGTGAAAAAGGATGAAAAAAGTTGTCAACCATCTGCTATAAGCGTTGCTTCAAGTCTTCTTCAACAATGCTCCTTGCTGTCTGATGGCTTTTCCGGTTATTTCTAATTCTCTCCGATAAGCTACGGCTTTGATCCTTAGCATGAGCTGTTGAGACATCCTGGTGAACAGTTAACACCCATTTGATCTATCACAATTTCGTCTTTGTTATAGAATATTTCTTTAATGCATTATCATTACTCATAAAGTAACTAATGCTCAAATATTTGTTGATCATGTGATATGGTAATATTATAGCAACCCTAGAAGAACCTTAACTTATCAAAGCTAATCATTTTAATCCAATTCTATTTTGTTGAAATAAAAAAACAAATGGAAGCTCCAGCAATAACCGTCTAGGAGATATCAATAATTTATTCGCTGTATGTTCCCGATGACGGATTAGTTTCTTCTTTTTGAGTGAAATCGCTTGCTCTCGTACCTCTGAAGCTGAGGATATAAATAAACAATTTAAAGCTAATGAATTATTAAAAATACAAGTCTTCCAGGAAATTAAACTTACTGCGGCGTAAATCTAACTGCTGCTGAAGCCATTCCTTCTTTCGCTTTTTAGCTGATTTGAATAACCATGTGCCTGGGCTTTCTTTAATTCACTAAAATCACTCACATTAGTACAAATATCAACAAATTTTAAATTTCAAACTTTCTTATTCAAATATGTAAAACTCGTCAAAATTAAAAAATTCATCTTCGTACCTGTTTTTGATTTTTCACTTGATGATGGTTTATTCCTAAATTAGGATGTCAATTTTCTTAATATTAATTATATCAAATTAGATTACATTTGCCTTTGTTTTGGTAAAAAAAAAAAAAGATTTACAGATATTGTCGTGAATTTGATGAACTTTTTGGCTGGAAGAGATGATTTAGATTAGTTCTTGATTTACGTGAAGTTTGTAGGACTTAAACTGAAGCTTTTGCTTCTTATCTGCAAGCGAGATCGACCGACAAGTATATAGTGGAGTAATTGGAACAGCGAAGGAGTAAGTGGTACTGTTGAGTGAGTAGGAGGAAGAGAAGACTGCACCGATCGTTTCTTTGTTGTTATCAGATTAAAGAAGGCTTTTAAGGATGTAGAAAGTGGGCTGGGTTGGCTTAGCAGCAGATTAACATTTACAGTGAAGACAGATGTACATTTACTATTTGAGGTTTAGATAAAGGATTCATTGTTTCAAAAAAATGGGATATAACAAAGGAATAACGAATTAGTTTGTAGTAATGAATCATTAGTATTATTCTAAACACTTACTGTGTAATAAATATTTCTTTCGCTTTTCCGACAGATATTTGAAAAAACTGAGCTAAATAGCTTGTGATGAGTGCTTTGTTGAAGTTCTTTAAATTTCCCTTATCTTCTGGAAATTCCTGAATTTTTGCATTTTTTTTTCTTTTTTTGCAATAACTTTATGACTTCATTAATGAATAATCAACGCATCTGGTATGAAATAATGTTTAAGCATGTTAAAATTCAAATTTTTCACCTGATGACAATTCCTGAGTTGATTCAGCGCGCAAATTTTCTGAAACAGCTTAACATTACTTCGCTTAGCAGATCTTAGTTGATGAAAATTGAGTACAACTCAAATTTTTAAGACTTTATGGCTTTACTGGCTTACTATCTTTTTTTTTTCTTTAAAAAAAAAAATAATTTCATTTGTTAATTTTCTTATTTAACGCTTTTGATTTACTTTTTTTTGTAATAACACTTATATTTTTACATGCACATAACTAAGTTCACTAGCACATACTGAAATATTTTTATTATAAATTTAGTTTCATTAAATTTCAAACGATTTACTAATTTTAGTTCTTATGGGTTTTTCCTACCCAACTTCTCCTTTATTCTAGTTCGGGGACTCATAGAAAGTTCACGTAGCTTAGCTCGGAATGATTTCATTCTCGGCGCTCCTTTTTTCATTTTCTGTTATTTTATCAATAATTATGTTTGCTAAATGCACAAATTAAACCTGCAGCTGTTGACTCCTATGACTTTTGTAATTATAATTTTGAATTGGCTGTTTCTTCCATCACTTTGACGATTAACTTTATCACTTTGATAACTAGACATATCATTTTGTCGCTGATATGAGCTATCGATTTCTTCTCCTTTTAATCGTTTTCGTAATAAATCTCGAATACTTTTCACATCCTTCAGTTCTTGCTTGTTAAATCTTGTTAGGTATTTTCTTTTATATAACAAAAATTTCGTAATGTTTTTATGTTTTAATTAACATGTTTAAGTTTGGAATGTCTTCAAGCACGTATGATACGTCTTACTCGTTTTCGACTTGATTGCCCTCTTTCACTTCATTCTTTTCGTTCTTGGGTCTATAATGCATCAAATCTTGAAAAAAAAAGGAAACAAATGTTCTTTTATCTTTCAATAAATTCTATTTAACATTCACTCACTAATTACTTACCCTACGAATTTTAAATCTCGCTAAGATCTAAACCATGGTTTAATCGTTTAAATCGTATAATATTTTACCAGAAAACAGATAACGTCGCTTTTCAATTTTGCTAGCTATCAAGTAAAATCTGAAGTACGTTCAATTTATCCGTTATAACTTAAGCAACTGATTGGCTGATTGATTGATTCGATATCAGTTTCGTCTCATCACCTCGATAGATCTCGTATCTTTTTTTTTGTTTCTTTGGCACTAATTTAACAAAACAAAAAACTACATAAACACTTTTCAACCAATACATATTTTATCAATTTCCAGTTGCTCTTCTCTTTCAGGCCTGAAAAAAATTCCGAATATTCCATATACATATGCATAAATGTTCAACTCATATAATGAAATTTTGAATCAATCATTTACTCACAAAAAATTATTTCTTCCGCATTTGTACCAATTGTAGAATTAGCCGGAGCATTGAACTTTTTAAAATAACCAAATATTTTTTTCATTTATACTTCCTTTCTTTTTTCTCTCATTTACATTTATTACGTCGAAAAAAGTGAAAACCGGTCTGGGAAAGAAAAAGAACCGTAAAAACTACCAAAAAGAAAAGGAACAAGAAATGTTGTTCCAAATCAGTGGTATGAGTATTCTAAAATGATGTTAAAAAAAATTAATCTACTGAACGGTAGAATAATTAATTTCTTAAAAAAGTTTTAAAACATTCATATCAAAAAAACTTATCACTCAATAATTGTCACATATCAGAATAATATCGATACTATTATTTTGATATATGTATAAATAGGATAAGACAATGGATGTAGGCTTTATACATTTATAAATTCTTGATTGGCTTTGTCCGATTGATTAATAATATCACTGATATATCAGGACGAAATGCAAATTCTTCCTTTTACTATAACATTTAACTGGCTTGTCATAATTTTACAAATTTTAATTGATTAATTAATTAAATGAAGTGAAATCGTCATGCTACCAGTAATATTTTTTCTCCCTTAATGATGTGGTATATGAAATTTAGAAAAAAAAAATTAAAATTCAAACCTTCATCATCACGTAACCGCCTTAACTGTTCCAATTTATCCTTTTGCTTTCGATGTGCAAGGGACTCTAATTGTTCCTTTGGACAAGTACCTCTTTTATCCAAATAATTATTGTTGATATGAACCAACACAACGATAATGAAATAAGATTGATGTCTTTTGAAAATTTAAATGTTCGGATTTAAATTTTAACCTTTAGTAAAAAATTAGTTTGATTGTTTGTTGTTATCAGAACACTTAATCTGTTTGATGCTTAAAATATTAGGTAAATAGTGCAATACAATAAGAAATATTCAGATGAGCATGAAAAAATCCAGTTAATAATATGTATAATTTTATATGATAGAAATATATAAATAAATGGGAAGAATAAAAATAATTTAAACATACCATTAAACAGCCAAGCATATGATTCCATGTTGTTCTTTAGGTTAGATTTATTAAGCAAAACAAATGAAAGTTTATCATTATTAAAAACCTGATAATTATTCGCGCCGTTACTTTCCATGTTCCAATATAAAATAGCAGTTTAATTTAACAGCAAACAAAGGAATAAACAAACATTTAAATTAATTTGTTTTGAACTTTTTCGAAGCATGCAAATTTTTTTGTTCAAAATTGTTATGCCAAAATTTTTAAATATAAATTTTAATCGACTAAAAAATGATAGTACAATAATGATGTATAATATTTCAGAACAATAAAAATGTTTAATTTCTTTTTTCTCCTTTTGTTCCCCTCTCTCCCTTCCTTTCATTTTCTTCTTATTTTTAAATCCAAATTATGAGCAACTTATTTTAGTTTTCAATGCACAATTGTACAATCCACTTTACAGAGTCAAATAAATTTACTAAGTTATCTAATTACAATTAGGTACAATTAGTATTAGTGTAAAAGTATTAATGTTCATTTACAAGTTTCACATTTACCAGTTTAAAAAATCCATGAAACAAATTAAATAAAGATGCAATAAAACAATAATTATGCACAAAATTTGTCAATTAAATATTTAAAATTAAATTTTAATAGCATACTAATATTATTTTTGTTATCTTAAAACAATCAATAATAATTTAGTTTTTCCTTTTTCTCTTCATTCATGGAAATCAATCCATTAACTCTAATGATTTGAAATGACTTGCTCGAGTGATAATTAAGTCATTTTTTAAAAGAAAGGAGCGTTTGACAAATATGTGAAAAGAAGGAAAGACAAAACTATAAGAACTTTTGCTTCAAAAAAAAGGGAGAAGAAATCGCTTACCTTAATTAATTACTTACATGAAAAAATGATCATATTAATAAATTTTTCGCTAAAAGCTATTGATTTTATTAATAACTTGTTTACTCAAATAATTTTTGCTTCACAATGAATTCCTTGTCTGGGAATGAAAAAAAAAAAAATGATTGCATGGATGTGAGATTGCTGTACAAAAAATGTTTAATTTTTTCAATTAAAAAATATTTTTTTTTATTAACAAATTTTACTGAAAATTAAAGAAAGGATCAGTTTTCATGCAGTTGTTGTAATTCGATAAAATCAATGATATCACGCAAAACTTTCAATTTTTCTTTACTAAAAAACATATTTAATATGCCATGATAAGACTGATAATAATGTTTCCAACAAACTGAAACATTAAAAGATTTCAGCAAGCGTACGTATAATGTGCCCTCATCACGGAGAATATCATATCCCGCTGTGATTATCATTGCATCACTAAGGCCCTCCAAATTTGTACCCATGATAGGTGATAAATCAGGATTGTAAACATGCTTAGACAATGCATCACATAGCTGAAATTTGAAATTATAATGAAAGACAGACAAAAGTGAAAACTTATTATAAGCTTAATTACTGAAATGCTGCACAGTAAAATGGAATTAATGCTATATGGAGTTTAAATTCCCAGTAAATTTGCAACATTATTATGCAATGCTTAAATTTTGCGAATATTATTTTCAGAAATTTTGAATATCACATTTCAATCTTATTTTCAACTTCTTTTTTCTCTGAATGCGTGCATACATTTTTTGATAATCTACAAAAAACATTGTAATTTGTTTTGAAAAAAAAGAACTTTTTATTAAAGGAAAAAATCGGAAACATAGAAATATTAAAAGATTATAACTTACGTAATCATCTTCTAATTCCATTTCAAATTTCTTATCTGTTTCATTGATGAAACTGATTGGTAATAAATTATGATCAATAATGGACCGTAATTTATCAGCTTCCTTTCCTTCTCTACAAATTTATTAATTTAGTATGGATTTTTCTCTACCTTAATTTAAGTATTTTTTATTACTATTAAAATTATTAAGTAATGTAAATATCATTGCAAAGTATTTTTTCATTTTCCTATGGATTTTTTCTAATAACAACAAAGTTATGTTATTGGATCAGTATTTCTGTACGAATATATACCTCCGAATATGCTTATTCTGAAGCAGTTTTTGTGTATTCTTATGCGTAACTGGAATTCCTAAGTAATGTAAGTACCACTGCGCCATCATCCGTGGATTAAGCATTGAGCAACCAGGAAAAAACTTTTGATATTGTTGATAAGATGGTGATTGAAAATCAAATGGATGTATTGTGGGATAAATCAGAATTTGTGACTGAATAAATTGCTATTGGTAGGAGAAGTTTAGACAATGAAATTATAGTTGAAACAAATGAAGCGAATTTTAGCTTTGATATTTTTTGATAAAAATGATAACATGGTTGTCTGAAACTAGTACAAATCTTGCAGAATTTCGATTACTAAAGTAGTAACAAATATTTTAGAAAAAAAGTTATTTGAAAATTGGAAAATATTTTTCAACATTTAAACAAAGGACATTAAATTCGATCTGCACAATCTTTAGGCTTAAATTTATCTTGCATATTCCAAATTTCCAGAAGTTATCCATAGTAGGCTTATACGAAAATGATTGAACATCGAATTCATACTTTTGGTTTCTGAAAGTTTGCCCGTAACTGTCGCTGAGCCAAAACTGCAGCAATGTTGCCACCAGCACTATCGCCCATCACAAAGATTTGGGTCGGGTCGATACCGTATCTTTTATAATCAATAGTAACTAACTCTCGATAAACTGCTTCGCAGTCATCAATCGGAATTGGATAGAGATATTCTGGTGATCGACGATAATCAACCGAAATAATCAGCATTCCGAGATGTTTTATAATATAAAGTATTAAATCATCATAATCAACTGGAAATATTATTTTTGCTTGTAATTTGCATATTTATAATTCGCATATAAATCCTAATGCTTCAAAAATTTTCATAATCTTTCCACTTTTGTTGTTAAATAAATTAAAAAAGAAAAAAAAACGAAGAAGGAAAAACTACCACTTATTTAATTATTGTATTTCAATTATTACTAAAAATTTTAACTAATTACCAGGTTTTAATGTCGTCCAACCACCACCATGCAAATATAATATCATAGCATTACTACGACGTTTTTTTGGGTAATAAACACGAACTTTGATATTGGCAACAATTTCATTTCTAATTGTTAGCCAATTAGGTGAATAAAGATGAAATAAACGGGGAACGGAAAAGATTATTCTCGTCAATATATTACGATATCGAGGACCAAATAAAAAGTGTACTATTTCACCCTGTAATTAAATGCAAATTTGAATAATTAAGTGTTTGCAACATTTATGGTAATATTTGATGAATTTTCTGATATATCTTTCTATATATATATGCAAAAATATTTTTAATGAAATCTCTCATTATCACTGATAAGCAAATATAATTTATCGTATCACTGTATTCCAAATATATAAAAGAAATAGTAATAAATATCATATTCAAAATTTTCAATAATTCTAACAACATAGCCCTCATGTACGCAAATACGTACACGTATACACGTCGCTATATTTATGCCACCGAATGAAACAGATCAAAAATCCCTTATAATAATCGATAACAAAAATTTTATTATTAAGATCGATAACTCTTTAAATATATAATTTCAAAAAAAGAAGAAATACTTACAATATACTCATTACTTAAACGTAATAATCCATCAATACAAATCAATTTCCATCGATCGTGGATATCGTATGGGTGCGGGAAATAAAAAGCGAAGAATATGATAAAAAACGCAATTAGAAGAATTATTGCTGCTAATGTGATTATAACATTTACTAAAATCCATCCAAAGCCGTATCGTAAAACCTTTAATAAAAAAAAAAAATCACTTTGAAGATTTTTTCAATTTGAATTAAAAATTTTTTTTTTACTAGTATAAAAGAAATTTTTGTAGGGTGTAATCATTACATAATAATTATTTTTAATAATAATTTGATTATTTTTCAGAAGAAATCTATGAAGAAACCTTATGACAAATGAATTATTTACCTGATAAAACAAGGAATCCAATAATGATAAAAAGAATTTATTATGCAAATATGTAGAGGAGCTTATTTGGTAGAGGAATTTAATTAAGGTAATATTCTTTTCAATTAATTATTCGATATCTTTTTTCAGATCAGAAATTCAACTTAAAAAGCTAGTAAGATTTGAATAAATGATTTTTTTTTTTAAGACTCCAAATAAATAGAAGTGCAAAACATTTAATTAATTGTGGTTAACTATGTATCGAAGAAGGCCAATGGTTCATCACATGTTAAAGGGAAAAAAGCAAGTAAATTAAAAAGTAGTGGTTTAATAAAAAAATAAACTTTTTTCATAGATAAAGTAATAGAACAATTTAATGATTTAATTATAACATATCATAAAATCGGCTATAGAATGATTTTTTTTTTTTAAGATTCATATAAATTAATGTTTAATACAAGGAGTGAATTTAGTCCCATACTTATTTTAATTTAAAAATTTAACAATTTTTGGGACGAGATTTTTACGGTAAATTTTAAATTAACTCGTGTTTATGACCAATTTGACTATTCAAATTTATTTCTAACTACCACTGCACATAAAGAATATTTTTCATGTTATCTTGTATTTATTTTGCAGCTATTTCAGAATGCCATTAAATTTGAATATCAATGCAATATATGTACAACTGAATCACACTTCATCGCTTTTTTTTTCAGCCGAATAACCTATTTCTAATTTCAGTCTGACATCTCATACTTCCGACAATAAAATTTATGTTGTTCTTTTATTTTGTTTATATCTGCCCTTTTCATTGACAGTCACTGCGTAATTCAACAATTAAATCTTAGAACGATAATTTCCTTAAATGAGCAAACAAAGCAATTAATAGAAATATAATATGCAATAAAATTTTTAGAAAAGTGCAAATTAAATGTTATGATATTTGATGATTGTTATTATTTAACAAATACCAAAATTTTCATCTTTCTTTCTTTCGCTCTCTCTTTCTCTTTTTCTCTTTACTTCTTTTTCATCAGATAACATTTATTACTATCAAATGAAATTATTTGACAACTTCAACCTAAAATTTGAAATAATATTAAAATACCTGAATAACATTCGTTTCCGGTGTTAGCAATGGAACAGGAAATATTTTACTCAGATGAAATGAATCGATAAAAGAAAATGATAACATTTATGATAGCAGATAAATTATTGATGATATTATTGTTCTTACTAAATAATGCAGAATAAATTGTTAGCAAATGTAATAATAGCAAATCAGTAAAAATAATAAATGTATTTACTAATAAATGTACTAAATGCTTATAGCAAAAATTTTAGAAATTAATAAAAAACAAGACGATTAATTTAAATATACTAATGAATGAATAAATTCAATCAGTTCAATAATTTAATATATTTTGTTAGCAGGATGTCAAATGATAAAACTGATTAGTATATAAAATTAATCGTTCTATAAATAGATATGTATGGTAAGAAAGATGGAGTAAAGGTGATATCAAGTGATAGATGATAAACATGTTCTATAATATTGGTGCTAGTAATAGGTCGATTGTACCGGCAGTACATATACAGTTACCAAAAGGACAGGTGAAATGATAAAATTAAAAACTAATGAATGCATCATCTTACGACTGTTTATGTTTAATGAGGGAACGAAACCATCTCAAAACATTCATTTCATCTTTTCTTTTAAAGAAAAAAAGAAAAGGATAAGAAAAAACGAAAGAGAAGAAAGATTGTAAAATAATGAAACCATATCAATTTTTTTTTCCTTTATTTTCTCTTCAATCAGTGCAGCCTATCAAAATTTTAAAAGCAAAAAATTTTCCTTTCAATGTTCACAAATTCATATAATTTTTGCAAACATAATCTACATAATCTCATACAAATTTTAAGCTATTTTTTTTATTTCTTCTTGTATATTTACTTCCTTTTTACAGTACGCTTTTTCCATTTTTTAATGTCAAAATTTCCTTTTTTTTGATAAGAAAAACTTGTAGTAATTTAAGAATTTCGTCATTTGCTTCCGTCTCATTTCATTCCTCTTCTCTTTTTGATTAATAGAAAAGAGAGAAATTATTTTAAAAGGTCTTTTTTTTAACAAATAAAAAAAAAACTATTTTCTTTAGTAATTTTTGATGCAAAGAAAGGAAAACAAAAAAAAAAAAAAAAAAGGAAGGAAGAAAGAAAGAAAAGTGGAAATAAGCGAGTTGAAGAGAAGAAGCAACAAGACTTACAAAGAAATTTTAAACTGAATTTACTAACAAGTTATAAATTATAATTTGAAAATTAATAAGATAATTGTCAAATAAGAATGATATTGAGAACACATTTCTTACAAACACAGTAATATTTGCTGGTTAATTTAAAAAAATTAAAACTAATTAAGACTTTCAGGTTTAATTTGGCTCAAATTAATGGGAGGATCTTGACATATTTCAAGAGTATTTTACTACAGAAATCACTATCATTTTTAGTTTTGTCAAAATAATTCAACAAAAGTTTATTATCATGATAAAATATATAACATTTCGATGGAAGAGGGAAGACATTGTTGATAACATATATTAGAGATGGAAAGTGAAAAAGAAATTAGAAGCAGAGGAAAAAGTAAAAAGAATTCAGTTCCAATTGAGAATAATACATTGAATCGCAAAATTCCGAAGCAATTCGAAAATTTTCAAATTAAGAATTGAAAATGAATGCTTTTTGGACATTACACACACAAAAAATTGTACTTTCACTTATTCTCTTCTTTTCTATAATATACAAAATGAAAAAATTTGTAGAATGTTTAAAAGCTATCAAAACGTTTCCTTGCATTTTCATTTATCTCAGTAAATATTAATCAAATAAAACTTGCTTGGATATTATATATAGATCAACTATAATTTATTCAAAACTTATAAAATATCATTAAAAATATCAGTGTAACTTCTATTTTATTCATTAATGTAATAAGATATATTCCTTATTTTAGAAATAAATGGGTCAAATATCTAATGAACAAAATATGGAGAATTAGTAATTAATTAAACAACTACAAAAAATCTTTTTTTTGCGAGAAATCTTTCGTGAAAAAATCAGTCATATTGTAAAAAAAAATAAATAAATAACCAATTGCATAGCATATTTCCTTCCTAGTTTAATGATAAGGAATAACCGGTATTTTCACTACAACAGTTTGGTGATAATGATCTTAATGTGATATCATGCTGATAATTTAAAGTAGTTATTTATTGTGTTTGCTGAAAACGAAAGGCATTATTTGACTTTTAAAGTCAAGAATGAATTATCAGTAATGGATGTCACATTATCATTATCAACCATTAATAAAAGTGCAAATGAAATGATTACTTTTCATTTACACTTTTATAGTGATATCATATGAAAAATTGTAGTGATATTATATGAAAACTCTCTACTTGTTATAAAATTAATATTTGCTGAAAATTTTAGAAATTGAATAAATTTTAATGTTTAGAAAAAAGTAGTTATCAAAAAACTACTTCAATTGCATTATAATTCACCAATCGCATTAATTTGAACTTGATTTTTTAATGCTTAGAATTTACACCAATGATTTCCGGTAATCTTTAGACCAGATCCTATTATTCAATATGCTATTTGATGCATGCAACTGTCACTGATTGAATTAAGCAAAATTCTTATAAATTATCAAAATTAAGGAAGAGTGAAACATTGATTTTATAATAATGCGTTACTGGATGGTTGCTTTTTTGCTAGCCCTTCAAATGGTGGATGTTACGTCGCGGACGTTAAAAATTTCCGGCAAATTGTCACAGAAAACTGATGTAAGCAACGGAAATTTGCAATAAAAATGGATGAAAATATATACTCAAAAAAAAAAAAAAAAAAGATTTAGAAGGGATAATTCAGATGCGCCTAAAAATAGAGTTAATTTGGTTAGGTAGAAGAAATCCATAAGAAAATGCAATGGTTAGTCTTATCAATGAAAACCTCTTCCGATTAATCCAACTATTTTTTCTTTCTTTCTTTTTCCATCCTTAGTCTCAGCTAACTTTCAAATCTATCTAAGTTTGCTAATTTTGCTATTTAATCAGTGCATGTACTTTCAATTTAGTCCAAAATATGGTTAGCTTTCAGGAACAAAAAATGCAAATATTTCTAAATGAACTGAAAATATGTAAACAAAAAGGTGATAAAATGGAAGCGTTTGTCACAGATAATCGATCACTAACAATTATACAAAACCATTCATTTCATTTACCATCAAATTTAACAAAATCAATTAAAGAATTTAATATTATCCTTAAAAATATTACCGTTCCGGTGCGTTTTCATAACAATATCCTATAGTTGAAATAATAATCTTCAATACATTTGTAATGAATTAGACATAATGACTGGTAAGTAGTCGGAAATATTGTTGGAAATATTCTTCCGAAACTTTTAAGAGAAATCAGTAAAGCACCACCGTGTTTCACTAAGCATAACAATTTTAAATTAGTCTCAATTGCCGCATTTGGAGAATTCTTAGTGCAGAATAATGAATGCGTGGGAATGGTGCTGGATGCAAGTTTAAATTATATAAACATCAACATTTTACTCCTTTGCTATGAAAAGAACCGAACCCTTGGTTGGAATAATTCGGGAAAAAATAACAATTCTGAGATCGATGATCAAATTATCAGTTTTTTAAATTATGTTCACCAACTGCTCTATTTGTTTCGTCCGTCGTATCTGTCGCATCAGAATAGAAGTGGTGATAAGATTGATTCTATCCGTTATCATTTTATTTGGAACGAAATTGAACAACAGAAAGCAAAAGAAAAAAATAAAAGTTCGACTCGTAAATTTAAAATTTTGACACCAATTTTGTTTTGGAATTTTGATTAGCAACGATTGGGATCGTATTGGATCAGTAGTAATTTTGAAAAGCCGAAATTAAGGCGATTTGTTCGTAAAGCTTTCTGCAAGTCCGAAATAAATTTTTCCTTTTTTTATTCGTGATAAGATTGGTAGTTTAAATCAATAAAGTGATATTTTAGAATTTTGGGAAAAGACAGTGGTATTACTGATTCTGGTAGTTGCTTTCATCTGTTTTTTAATCACTGCGATTAAAGGAATTCAGTGGCTTTGTGGAAAGAAGAAGCCAGTGAGTTAGCAAATTTTTTCTGTTAGATATTTGCTCATACTGGGAACTTTGTCTGTCTGAAATTAAATAGCGATCATCTACGATTTGTGCTTTTTTTGTCAGTGAAAACCGAAATTAAGGCAATTGTAGTAAATAAATTTAAAGCTTCACGGATTCGAATTTGTTTAGGTTTAATTGCAGCTAATTAGTAGCTATTTCCAGATTTTCAATATTCTTGATGAAGAAAGGCTTCTAATATTATCAAATAACGAAATACTGCTTATGGAAACAGGAAATGATCTCTGTTACGTTAACAAACCGCATCATGTTAAATCGAAGAAAGTGTATCATTCGATATCACACTTTTAAACGAAATCAATTTAAAACAATAAATGACTAGTAGCAAATAAATGAATAACTTAAATGTAAACACTTATTAAATTAAAAATTAAATTCAGTGCATTCGAAAGATTGTAAATTTTGAAATAATCTTAATTAACGTCTCAATTAACGAAAGGTACCATTCTGTTTGACACTTCTTTGTGCTAATTATAGTTGACCAATAATACTTTCGCCATTCAGTTTTATAATAAAGCATGGATCCATAACCATTACGAAAAGGCGAAGAGGTCATCACACATGTGAATTTTATGTAACAATCATCGCTTCCATGTGATTCGCTCAAATAGGACTGAAATGTTGTTTAATTTCATGTCAACAGCGCTTGCATTATTTCTACCATAAAATATGCAAATTACATGTAAACCAAGAAGTTTAGTTTACCGACTTCCTAACTTACAAATAATTTTAAATTCTACTGCAAATAATGTCAGCATATGAAATAACAGACAATAACTTAACATGAAACCTTTCATTTCAGTTATTTAAATTTTTATTTAAAGAAAGACCTCTTTGAAATGCTTGAAATATGAGTGCATTTCAATGGAATCCTTAAAATGAATATAATTTTTAGATTCAATTAATAGGAAGAAATAAATCTGTAATATTACAAGAGGAATGATTTTGGCTGTAAAGAAATTTGCGCGGCCTGACCTTTGACCCTACTACTGAAACAGCGTTGCTGACGAGTAATATTTAACAAGTAATGAAAAGGTCAAAGATAGATGGATAATCGGAAATAAATGGTGCAGTATTACATAAGGAATGATTTTGATCATAATTGAATCTACGCCACTTGATCTTTGACTACATTAAGACAGTAATATTAATGATGTTAATGAAGCAGTTAATGAGAATAATGCAACAATAAGTGGAAAACCATAAAATATTTCAAACTGGAGAATTTAAAGCTTTTATTCCTTACAATTCACAGCTATTAATAGAGATATATTAAAATTTATTAATTTAAATCTGATAAAATTGACAATATCTACTAAAAAAAATATAAAATAAGAGTTGGGAATTGCTGGTTTCGTTATTAGAAGCAATGAACCAAATAAATAGACGTGAAATTCAGTTTATCGCTTCAGCTTAATCAATCGATGTACAATCATAAATTAAATTATCCACTAATTAATCTGCTGTTTCTTTTATTACAAAAATTATTTTTTGGGATTGCAGTTCTACCATCCCTGCGAAACATAAAAAGTGCGTCGCTACCTGACGTTGCCCTCTGCTAATTGCCAATTTTGATTACTATTCCATCTTATATTGCCCGCCTTATTTCACATATAATTTGGTTCCATGGAATGATGCTATTAGTTAACATCGGGAAATACAAAACATTTATAAATACTATTGCAATTCCTTTACTTTCTTAACTTATCTTCCTACCAAATGATAAAAGTTAATTTTACAATAGCATCGGTACAATACCATTACTATCTCGAATATACGTAGGTACTCCAAACAAAAAGATTAATAACAATAAGAGTAAATATCTTATGGCTAACAAGTAAACTTAAAAAATTATAAAATTTCTTTATTTTCAGACAGTTTGATTCCAAGAAAAAAAAAATATATATATATGCAAAAAAGAGAGTGAAAATGAATTATTGATAACCGCTAGCTGAATACTTATGGAAAGTTTTTGGATGGACTATGAAATATGAAGAAGTGACATTTTAAAGAATGGAACAAAGAAAAAGGATAAAAGGAAAGATGGACCGGGGATAAACAAGAAGTACGCGAAGATGACCGATAAGTTGGTTGTAAATAATAGAAGTGGACAATGGGATAGAAATGGACAACGGTAAGAGAGAGGGAGAGAGAGAGAGAGAAAATGAATGAAGGAAAAAGGAAATGAATGGGATGAAAAATATTCATATTTTTGGTTATTTGAGAATAAAATTTACTGCAAACATTCATTCTTCCATTAAATTTATTGGTTTTTCACTCGGATTTTGATTTGAATTTTCGATTGAAAAGTACAGTGTTGAAGTTTTGAATTAATTGTCTTTAGTTGAGTTTAATGCTGGAAGAGAGAAGGAATTTCGCTTTCTTTATTCTTATGGTATTCTTGTATAATGTTGATAATAACGGAGTTTAGATGGACTTGTATATTGCTTGAAATAATTGAACTGTAAATTTAGATTTTGATAAATTTTTTTTCTTATATATATATATATATATATCCGTAAAAAATAACTTGTAATAAGAGAATTAATTTATTGAAAATGTAGAAGAAACAATTTGCTTTATTGATAAATAAAATCATTTATTTAATTCAGCGAATTAAAAATTATATATTGTATCTTTTGCTCATTACCCGCAACATAATAATTATTATATCCTTGTTAAGCTTATTTGAAATTTCAAAGATAATATTAAACTACACCTTGATATAATTCAAACATTACGGTGTACTTCAATTAGTTAAAGTAATTTTACCTAAATAAATTTAATTAAAGTTCATCGTATTTGCTCAAAACATGATTGCGAAAATATTTAAATTGTCTTGAAAATTATAAAATGTTTATTTTCAGACTTTTCCATGCGGCTCATTCAAAGTTTACATGTACGAAGGTATTGTCGGTCACTTCTCATTAGCATTCTTTTGCAACATAATATACAGACAGTATTGTTGGCAGAAATTAAAGAAGGTTCACCTTATTAAATAATTAAATAATGCAACACTAATATGAAATCATGCTAATTTAATCATGATTAGTACTTTTATGTTATTCAATTCGTTTTGACAACTAAATCAGTAAAGTAAATGTATTACATTGCAATCTTCTTATTATTATTGTATATGATAATCATCAGCCGATTACTTGGCATATTTGATTTAGGACATTACTGTAGCAGAAATTTCCAATTTTCAGTCACAAAACCTTATTAATTAAGCTTCTGATAGATTATCTGATTCTTATGCTTGAATTTTCTCGAAGTATTAAGTATATTGTCGTGCAACCAGTTTTTGTCATTCTCGCATTTTACTGTATTCAGGATAGTTTTTTTTATGAGTATCACTCATATAATATTTGATAATCCTTAAGAAAATTGAAATCAGCGGAATAAATTTAATAGATTTCCATTACTGCTTCTAATTACAAAATTTGATTAATGCGTTGTTTATTATAATTTATATTTTTAGTGAATTTTTAGTGAAATGTACTTCGGATAGCAAGTGTAACAGTAGTATAGTGCAATGCGAGAAATTTTGCAGGTATAATTTTATTTCCATCTGATAACAGAAAACATTGCTACAGAAAGGGATAATAGTTGTGTGAGCAGTAATTGGAAAAGTTAGTAATACACCTACGTATTGATTCGTTATTATTTGTGCTAAACATATTCCAATATTCCAAAAATGTTAGGAAATCATGAATGATATCGCTTGAAATACTCCCAATTACTCACTGTTTTTTACATTTTTTAATTTAAACTTAAAAAATTGAGCATTTGAGCATAATTTCCTAATTTAATAATTACTATTTCCTAATATATTCACTCGCTACTTCCAGAATGTTAAATTTTGCAGTTGGATTTATTCAAATAGTAATTATACTGGTTGCAATTTATTTAGTAATAAAACATTACACACATTTAATTATACCTTCCGGAATAACTGCTACTATTTTCATTCGTTGAGCTGTTGATACGCTTAAATTATTTCCAGTAAAGTTTCCAGTGAAAAAAATTTTCTAGTATTTTTAATGAAAAAAAAAAATTTTTTTAAATACTAATTATCGAATCATTTAATACAACAACAAATAAAAAGTCGCATTAGTTTTGAAATCAAATGGATTAGATTTTGTTTTTCGGAATATATTTAGCTATACTTCAATTCAGTTTTTTAAATGCAGTCTACTGCTATTCCTCTGATTCCTGTCAAAATTTGCAGAACAGACTTATCTGATTTGAACTTTTTTCACGAATTTTCAATTTTAACTGAACATTGAAGTTTCAATTAATCTTTATTTCGAAATAATCTTTTGCGAGAATATACTATTTATTACCTAAAACTTTGAGAATAACGAATATTGTGGATTCAATTAAAAGTACAGTAATCATAAAAGCTGGAAATAATGATACGATAAGAAACAACAGTGATCAATTGATAATGATAAGGGAAAAAAACTATGAAGATAACGTGGACAAGTTAATTTCATTCGTAAGTTTTACTGAAAGCCATTAGAAAAGTTTCAGTAACTTTTGTGTTGATGTTATCATAGCAAGTATTAATTGATCTAATTTCATATTTTTCATTTCATAAATTTTTCGGAAATAGCAGTTATGAAAATTAATGATTTAAATAATTTTGGTAGTTTAATTGATCATTTTAAGATTAACCAAATTTGAAACAGTTAATTTGAGATTTCCAATAAGTGAAATATTTGAAGTAAATTTATAAATTTCAGTACCTAGATATTTTAATGATATTATTATCTTGATTAAGGCAGTTACGATTATTGATTTTTAAGTCATGTTGATAAAGGAGATAACAGATTTCAGGAACAGACTGACTGGATAAATGAGGAAAACCAAAATACCAGACTTATTAAGAAACTATCACAATCTAACGGTCCGGCATGTTTCTTTATTTTTTGGGAAATGTTCATTTAAAATGTATTTGCAAACAAATAGAATCGTAAAAATAATAATATGTGGTACGAAAAGTTGAAGAATAAATTGTTCACGGGAAAATATTTCATTTCTGCCTAACGACGAAAATAAATGAAATGATTTTGTTTTACATCCATAATTGTACCAATAATGAAAGTTTGATTTTGGATTGCAACAATGCTGAAACTAATCATTGGCATTTCAATCTAATCATAATTAAATGCCAAGTTTGTATTGAAATCGAAAACAGCAAAATAATCATTTTGGATTTCTTTAAAAATTTTTCTTAAATTAAAGAAATGATATTTAAAAAATAGTTGCAATAAAGGAGTGGAAATAGTAAGTGGAGAATAAATCAGTGAGAATGAATAGTAAACAACTTTGATGATGACAAACCAAGTAAACAATTTGTTTTAATAACTTGCTAGATTATGTATAAAGATCAACTCCATTTATTATTTTCAACGTGTATACTTTTCTACAATTATTAATATGCTTTCAAGTTACTTTTTCCTTTTTTTTTTTTTAATTTAATCAAAGTTTAGAATATGTACTATATCATCAATATAAAATAAGCAGCATAGTACAATAATTGGTAAAAATAGTTGTAAGATTTGCGAATATTTTTTGGTACATATTTTGATAAATATAAATTGCAAAAGAATAGTCAAATTTGTCCATTAAGTTTTACTTCATTTTTAAATATATCATTCATTTTATCAAATTTATTCAATTTTTATTCTTAATTGTGATATTAATTACATTTGATCAGTAATGAATATTAAGAAGTCTTATTTCATATAGCTCAGATAATTTCAACTGGAAATTAGGTTAACAGAAAAGTATTTTACGGGGTAGTGTCAGAATAAAATTGATCTGCTTAAAAGTTGATGGAACACATTTCCTGATAATGAAAACCATTGAGATAAATGATATAAATTTGATGAATGAATGAATTAATGAAATTATAATTATTTAATGTAGTTAAAATGTCTTTCAACGACGTTAAATTTAAAAAAGCAAATGTGAATAATTTTGATTAGTATAAAATTAACCGTTTTTGGTTAGAATGTCTAATTTAATGAAAAACGATCATAATTTTGAAATTTTAAAGTCTTATTTTGTCCCAATTCTGATTAAAATAAATGACTTTCTCACTACATTGTCAGATGAAAATAAAATTTTGTGATTTAGGAAAGCGTTAGTATAAAAAAAGTTCTTTGTCTGATATATAATTATCATTTTTTTCATTATTGCTCATGATGTTATTGTGATATGCTTGAATAAAATCTGATAGCAAAATATTTTAAAGTAAAATATTTTAATTTTCACATAACTTTACTTTTTTCAGGTTTATTTATCAGAGGAATCACTAAAGATATTATCGGTGATATTATTCAGGTTTATTTATGGTTGCATTTTTTTATTTTATGGACAAATCAGTTCGGCCAAATTCCTAATGTTTTTTCTGTCAAAGCTGGAGTAATTAATGAATCTTTCTTCTATTTACATTTAAATATGTGTTAATAACATTTATTATTATTGTAAATAATTTGGAAATTATGCTGACATCCTCTCCACAGCGTGATAAACAACCCAAAAAGACTCAAAAGCAACGTGAATTAAACAATGACCACAACAAGCGTCAAAAGCGGTTTTCGGCAAGAAATTCGAAACAGACGGAATGGTTCCAGTGGCCTGGTTTGTTCTAATGCAAAACAATATTTAATGCTTATCGGTAATAACAGCAATTCATCGAAATGAAATGTAATTACGTTGCACAAAATTGCAGTGATGATCATTACATGAATAAATAGTGAGATTGAAAGTTGGGCAGAGATTTAAGTATTCTAAATAAATTAGGCAAATAGTGGAAAAATACTTATTTCCGTTAATTATATATTTAAATATAGTAACAGCGGTATTTCAATTTAACTTTTCTAAATTATTTTAAATTCTTGTACCATTTTCACAGTTTCCAGAGAGCGAGAAACAAAAGTAATACACTCCATATTTCTGATTTTTTTTATCTCGATCGTTTTTTTTGAATGTGCGATAATAAAATTAATACTGAAATTATGCTATAAATCATTTTTAAATCATATTTCTTGAAAGAGATTTAAAAAAGTTAAAAATACAGCAAATTTCCGGGTTATTTCATTTATCTACTTATGCTTATTACTATTAATTTTTTTCATATGTTTGAATTCTTTTTTGTGAAAAATTGATCTAAACATATTTATTTATTTTTTTTGCTGTATTTTTAATTTTTTAAAACCTATTTGCTGTATTTTATTTGCCGTAAAATTGCTTCATTTCTAATATTATTTCATTTTGTTTATCTATTTATGCTTAACACTATTAATTTTTCCCATATATTTGAATTTTCTTTTCTGAAAAATCCATCTAAAAAAACATTGGTTAACATTGCAATTTTTTGGTTTTTTTTTTTTGATCAAAAAGTCAGCATTTAATCTTAAACATCATTTGAAAATTTATACAATTTGCATTTGAAAAAATTATGCTAATTGATACTAATCAAATAATTAATTAATCATTTTTTTGGCAAATCAAAATGTTTAAAGAAATTTTAATGTTTTTAAATTGATATATGCATATAAAATGAGAAAAGGAGATGATATGGGGAGAAATCTTAATAATGCATAAAATGAATAATTATACGACAAATGTTTGTCCTTGTCAAATGACAACACAAAAGTTTTCCATTCTGGGAAGAAGAGTTATCATTATCAAGACTAATATCAATAGTGTTATCATTATTATTAACAATGTAAAAACTAACAAACTGGAATGATGAAGTGAATATATATATATATATTTGTTATTTGATTGAAAATCTGTTTTAAAAAATTTAATTTAGGCCCATGCAGTGATGATAATCATTGCCCACCAAATTTATATTGTGTTAATGGTAGCTGCTGGCATTTGTCAAATAAACCGATACGAATACAAAGAAAACACGGTGAGCATGATGCATCTCTAGTCATTTTAAAATATCGACTTAAATTTATCAATTTTTTTTCTCAGTTTGATGATTTTGAATTTAAAAAACGAATGGAAGTATGTGTGTCACACTTTTTTGTTTCTATTAATATATACTAAAAATTATAACAAGAAACTGCTATGTATTCTTATTTTATACATAATTTACGAAATCAATAAGTGCTAAACTAACTATTTGAAACATATTTAAATCATTTTCATTCATATATTTGATTATATTAACGGATAAAGTTGATGGATTAATTGAAAAATAAATTATTCATTTTAAGCTTTTTTTTCGCTAATATGCTTTTAATACTTCCAATATTTTGTTATTTTGAACAGTATCTCTTAAGTTTGATAATCATCTTAAAAGTTGTGCAAGAAACAATTTAGATTCATTGATGAATACGAAAGAACAGAACAAATCACATTTAGCGATACATCATCAGTCGTTTCGTTTAATAGGTACTGCAACAAGGTATATTTGAAAATTATATTTAAATCAAAAATTATTTAAACTATATTTTTCGTTGTGATTAACAATATTGTATCATATATGACAAATGCTATTTACCATTTAATTTCACTTTTTTTAAGTATAATACTTCAACCTTTATCGTTTTTTTTTTTTTTTTTCAAAACAAATGATCTCACTTGTATGTAAAATATAGTATAAACAAAACGATATTAATAAGTGTGTAATAAACAAATTTCCTCCAAACAGTTACATTTTCAAGAAATAACGAACCATTATTTCAGCGAAGTATTATCTAAAATTGAGACTACGACCAGAAATTTATCAGTATTTGGAAATTTAGATCTTTTTGATTACACAACTAGCACTACAGTCACAACAGCAGCAATAATACCAACAGTAACTCCAACAGCTTTTCATCATTCAAATACAGAACCAACAATTTCTAATGCTGTTTGCTCAAATTTTTTTCTATTTAATTTTAATTCTTTCGAAAGATTAAAAAGGAAAAAAAGAAAGCAGTTACTAAAGTTTTGTTACTGTCAAATTAAAATTTTTCAAAATTTCTGAAAATTAAAGAAAATTCATAAATTTTATAGACGAAATTGAAAATGACAATTGGTAATTATCAAAAAGAGCAAAAACTAGTAGCAACAAATAATAGCAGAACAAGAACAGGTGGTTTTGTTTTCGAATTTCTTAAAATTTTGTTTCATTTAAATTGAAAACTTAATATTGCGAAATGAATTTTATTACTGAGAGCTTTTTACTTCGTTCGCTGCTTACTTTGATATCCACTGCCTATTCATCACTCTAATCATTTTTATCATTACTCTCCTTCTTTCCTATCATTCAGATGTCTTTTATGGAATACAATATTATTTCTTATGCTTTTCCTTATAATTAAAATTCGTCTCTCAAAAAATTTCAAAAAAAAAAAAAAAAAAAATTTAAGAAATTTCTGATTTCTTAGGCATTAATTTACGGAAACAGGACAGAGTTAGCTGTTGCTGTTTCAAATATGTAATGATTTATATTTTAATGAGACATAAAAAGTAATTTAATTCTTCAACACATGATGTCCAGTGAGTAGTACCAAACTAATGGGAACTTCCGATAGTTATTAATGAGCTAACCGAAATTGGCGTTATATGCTTCCTTCCAGAGTTATGTAAAGGCCGCTACAAAGGTTGAAAATTATCATTCTATTTTATCATTGTGAGTTAGACATGTTTGTAGATGGAGATAATTTATCGAAATCACCATTCATTGATTTACGGTTTTCAACTGAGTTTCCGGTTCAAACGGAATATATTCGAAAGCGACAATTTGATAAACCGATTCGCATTGAATTATATCTTGCTAGAGGTTAGCACAGAAGTTGTAAAATTTGAGAAGAAAATCAAAATGGTATCACAAAAGTGACGGATGATTAAAATGAATGACACCTGTTGTATTAGTCGGAAAGGATATGTTAACTAACTTAAAATAATATTAACTGAAATTGATTATCGCAGCTGTGCTAAGAAATGAATGCTCGCAAGATTCACATTGTGGTCATCGAATGATTTGCTGCCGGAAAACATGGTATGATTTAAGTGATGATTCCGGAATAGGGTATTTCTGTTTGCCGGACTGTGAATTCACCAAAAAGGTAAGTTTGGGAATACATGAAGCGAATGGATTGATACCAAATGATCTAATTTATGATTGATATATCTGCTGATTATGCCATTGATAAAAGTGTTTCTGTAGCTGATTGAATTAACCACAATAATTTAATTAAAATTTCAGCATATCATTTGATTGGTCACAAATAACCTAATTAGGAAATGAAACAAATAACTAATTCAATTTGGAAACGGATGAAAGTTGAATTTCTGATTCGAGCGTAAATAAATTGCAAAGATTGCATGTGTACTACAAATAATTTATACGCAATTGATCAAACATAACTGGCGTAATTCAAATAGAATAAATTAATTGACAAACGTGAAGTCATCAAATTTTTGAATCAAAAACTAAAGCCATTACTGTATCAAGTAGTCTTGAAATTTTCCAGCAACCGAAGTTGCAACTTCACACCATTAGGTGACAATTTCCATTTTCGGCCATTCTATATTCACTTTCGTGACACAAAATTCTCATTTTTTTTTTTAATTCCACTTCAGTTAAGAGCAATCTTTTTTTCAGAAGTTTATTGTGTCCTTCAAATAAAACAACAAACATTTTATTATATCAAAAAAAAAAAAATCTTTCAAATTTACTGAAGAAAAAAAACAGCAATAATAGCTCCTTCGTCATAAAACAGACAGTAATAAAAATATATCAAGAACATCTAATTTTGTCATCATTGTAAATTGATGGGTTCAAAAAATATTTCCAAAATAAATTAAAAATATAATTTGCAATAAGAAAGGGAAAGGGAAGAAGAGAGAGAGAGAGAGAAAGAGAGAGACCGGCACTTCTTCAACACAACAGCAGCAATTCTTCTAAACTTTAAACTTTTTTTCCCTTGCATGAAATTCGATGAAATCTTTATCGAAACATTTATGAAAAAATAAAATGGTAAAATACTTTCACATTATAAATTTTTTCACTTTAATAAACAAAGATTTGATGCTCATCGTTGAGACAATTACTTGTTCATGGAAAATTTCGATGTTTATTTTGCAACTACATAAATTCAACAAGCATTCCTAATACCACAGAGGAATAAAAAAGAGAAGAAAACTCGGTAAGTTAGACCTGTTTATCGACAGCACCGGAGAGTTAAACATAGTAACAAAATTTTTACCTAATTTCGAAAATTAACTTATTTAAAAAAACGATGATCATAAGTGGGATTAGAGGTTAGGAGTAAAGCAGGATGGGTAGATTTGATTAAAATTGAAAAGATTAAAATTCCAAATTTTAATTTCGGATCGACAATTTATCAATATTATCAAATTCAGCATAATGAAAAGGAACACAGCTGAATAGTAACGATCGAAAAACTGATGTACCATTTTCTTTTTTTGGATTTTCTAACCTTTCAATTATCAAGGAAGAAATGTGATTCCACGCAGATCAAATTAACAGACATGATAAATGCGTCTACACCGAAAAAAACGAAACAAAACTTTCATAACCATATTTTCCTAAAACGAGAGAGAGAGAGAGAGAGAGAGGAAAAGAAAGGAAGAAAATAGAGAGAACAGTTACAGAATCAAGAAAATAAAATGAAGAAGCACAATGTGAACCTGTATTAAAATTTACAGTTCAAAATAATTTGAATTTGAAAAAAATGACATATATTAAAAAAAAAATCAAGGAACAAAAGAAAAAACACCATCAACAACGAGGTATATACAAATAAAAAAGAAAAAAAGACTTGCACAATCAAAAATAGGAAAAAAGATTATACCAAGAAAAATATTCTTGCAAAAAAGGATCAAAAAATTCAACAATTTCGAACAAAACTGATAATTTGCGCATGAGAAATTAGTAATCTTCTTGGAAAATCAATTATTCATTTATTTATTCAAAAAAAAAAAAGATCGAAAAAACTTTCCTTTTTATTAAATCACACAAGCAAACTCGAATTATCACCGATATTTCACATTTGAGAATAAAACACGCAGCAAAACCAGAAATGCATGGGAAAATATGGTTAATGGAAGAAAAACTGGTTTTTAAAAAGTAAATTATTTCTGATTTAATCAAAATTCAGGCTAGTATTGGTGTAAATTTTTAAGTCTGATATTAAACAAAAAAGAAAAGAAAAAACAGAAGTCAATGAATTGGAATTTTAATAACGAAATTACGAAAAAAGGGCAAACTGAATTAGGAAGAATAAGCCAGTGACTTCTATTGACTTCTGAGGCTTTCCTTTCTACAGACGGAGAAGGAAGTTATTGCTGACAAAAAAAAAAAATGAAGGAAAAAGAACAAAAGATATGGCCTTATGAACAAACCATTATGATATCTAGACGAATCGAGATAGTAAATCAATTAATTCCTCATGAATTAACAAATTAAATTATACTGCGTTACTGTTAATTGAATCTATCTTTGAAGATAAATTAAGAGGAAAAAATTTTCTGAGAGAAAAATTCAGAATTCTTCCCAAATCCTTTTCAAAAAAAAAAAAAAAAAAAAAGAAAAACCAATTAAATCATATCAAAAATAGTATAAAACGTAATCAAAATGATGTAAGCTATGAAACGACACAAAAATGTAGGTTTAACAATATTGCTAATTAAATGGTAAACGAAAAATTGATTCATTCAAATTTCTCGGACAAAACAGAAGAATTCTCAAAAAAAAAAGAAATTTTTTTTTTCCTATTGATTTAGTTTTTAAGAAAATTAAATGAAAAATGGTACATATAATAACACTAAATTAAAAACAAACATCAAAAATAAAAGAAAAAACAACTAAATAAGAAGTAAACATATGTTTTGAAAAAAAAAAAAAATCACCGGTACAGTTCACATCGGCAACCTGCCAACAATATTTGCCTTGCCGAGAGAAGAAAACAATGAATAAAATTGTTTTGATAAACATATATATTGGAATCACTGAGAATTAAGTTGGCCCAGCAAAATGTAATGTAACAAAGTAAAGAAAAAAAAGCTAAAAAAAAAGGAAAAAACAAGAATTTCATTTATTTAAAAAAAGAACTACAATATGAATGATAAGAATAGCAAAAAGAAGTGATATAAATTTGACCTATTTAGATGGATTGATTGAATTTAGTCCTTTTTTCTTAATTTTGAAGAGAGAGAGATGGAGAGTGAGAAAGAGGAAGAGAAAATTGATGATGAAAGTCATCAGGATAATAAGAGAAGAATAGAAAGATGGTAGATGGTGGCAGGTTAAGTCATATAAGAAAATGATAATAGTGATAACGATTAAGAAGAACAATGAGAAATTTCAGCGAAAGGATAATGAAATAATAATTAAATTATATTCGTTTCCTATTCAATAGTTACTAATTTTTTTTTTTCTTTTCAATTACGCGACTAAAAAGTGAACCGTAATAGTAAGGGAAATTATAAAACTGTGATTAAAAATTGAAATTTGTTTCCGAAAAGCCTAAAACCCGTGAAGGCAGAAAACCTCAGGAAAAGAAAAAATTCGTTACTATTTGGTTTAATTTAAACATAATTTTGATTACGTCATATTTTAGGTTAAATTTTCCTACGAAAAGAGAAAAGAAACAAAAATGAAGTCGCCAGAAGCGAAAAAAAATTTTTTTTGTTAAAAGGTAAAAATAAAAGGAAACGCCGCGAAAAATTTTCTTCACTTCATTTTTTATTTTACTTTGAACAAATGCATATGCATATATTTGTATAGATAATTGAAATAACTTACAATTTATTTGATTTCTCACCGTTTCTTATTATCTCCTGATTTATTCGCGGTTTAAAAATTTTTTCTGTTTTCTTTGAATCATAAACGAAATGAAAATAATAAAAAGAATAAGGGAAACAAAATTAAACCTAAGTTTTTTTAAAATAAATGTTTATAGTATGACATATAATAACCATGCTGCCCGCAAGTCCTTACTTCGCTCTTAAAACAATCAATTCGTTCCTTCCATTCATTCATCCATTAATGATAATAATAAAAATGAAATTTAAAAAAGGTAGGAAAAGAGAAAGGAGTTAATAACTAAGTGTATCCAACTTTAATCATAAATTAGGAGAGGAGGGGAATAAAGATGAGGGAGAGATAAGGATGTAATTTTGTCTTCTTTTCAACTTTCAAAAATAAAACAATAAAAAAAGAAGAGAGAAAAGAAAGCGAAAAAACATGAATAAATGAACAGGATTCGTTAAAAACACGCATGTATGCATGTTTTTAACGAATCAAAAATAAAAATTTTCAACAGAGATCCAATGAAGAAAAAAAAAAAAACATTGAGTTAGTTTGTTTGTGCTGATATTTCGTATAATTTTAGGATAAAGAGTTGGGGCTTTTTTTAATGACTGAATATGAGTGATTTAGTGGGACAATATGAAGCGTTGACAAAGACGATGACAGCTATGACGAAGATACAAAATGCAAGTTTCGTATATTCGATTCCTGAGTGCATTAATTATAATAATTAGTAACATCCGATAAAATGCATTTGACAAATTACATTATGGTAGAATAAAACACTGCAGGAATCCCTGAAAACAACTAATTGTTGCACACATACATATACACACATGCACGCACACACACACACACACACACATGTATAGCATATGTAGATAAATTAAAAAAGATTAAATTAGGTCACCTTAGCAACAACTCAATGACAAAAATTTGCATCAGTCAACAAAAAAGAAGCGGAGAAAAAGGTAAGGAAAGAGAGAGGGAAGAGGAAAAAGGATAAAATACTAGTGAGAAGTAATAATTGATCCAAATATTAATTAGTAGGGTTTCAAAGATCAATTCAAAATATGACTTTTGAAAATTTTTTGATTTCTAAATTTTTAAGGAGAAATATCCCAGTTATTGTTACTTCGTCAGTATGACAGTACTGTCAGATTTCAACTTAAAATAATAACATTTCTCAGACCTTAGTCGTATCCGTGGACCTATGCACATTAGGAAAACATAAATGTTGACTGGGCTTCGCTCTTAATTGGGAATGACAGAGAACCGGAAGATGAGAGTTGCTGCTGGGTACTTGTTGGTGAGATAGACATCTTTGGAGTTCCCGGTATGTGTTCTGAATCCAAAAACGGATTATTGGTTGTTGCTGCTGTTGTTGCTGCTGCACCGCTTAGGCTCAGAGGTAGCAAAGGTGATACGCCAAATGCTGCCGCTTTTATGGCTGCAGCTGTTGCAACGCTGACAATCGGCATTTGGGAGGAAAAAAGTGCCGGATTCGAGAGTAATCCGTTTAGCAACGGCATTTTGGCACCGAGTAATGATGCCGGCAACGTAGCTGCGACTGGATTAACTCGGTTAGCAACTTCCGCCAGCTGCTGCAGTGATGTTAGTAGGCCCTAAAGATGAAAAAATAAAATTCAGTTAATTTTTTCATTTGAAAAAATTAGTTAAATCAATTAGAAAAGATAAATAAATCAATCATAAAATTTCATCTAAAATCTTTTTCATCGTCAAAATCTAAGCATAACAATGAAATACATTTTCGGAAGCTCCCAGATGAGCAGGTACCATTATAATTTATACAGATCTGTAAATTTTCAATATTTTGACGGATATAAATAATCGCAATCAAGTAAGTGTATCAGTGGATTCTGCCAAAGATTCTACAACTTAACGGAATGAATAATACCTGTTGGTAAAAATAAGCATTCAGCAGATTCTGCGTATAACATTTATAGTCGTCGCTTGTAAAAGATGATGAATCGAAGGCAGCACCTACAAATGCTGCCGAACTTGTCGGCGTAGATAATGCAAATAGTGGGTTTTGATTGGTATTATTATTATTTGATCCAGAAGTACCTAAAATAGCTGCTGCTGCTTCTACTTCTGCTAAAGTTGGTTTCGACAAATGATGGCTCAGTGTCGAAGTGTACGATGGCTGTGGTTTAAAAACTGATTGTGTCGAGATCTGGAAGTAAATTTAATGGTAAGCAATGTTTCAATAATAATTTATCTTAAAAAAGTTCATAAATAATAATTTTATCCGATAATGCTGTTAAGTAAACAATGAAATTTTATTACTCACCAACAATGAATCAGTAACACTAGCTCGAAATTCATTACTACTACTATAAGTACCATCAAATGAACAATGAGCAGGACTTGTACTTCCGCTGTCATCACTAATTATTCCACTTCCATCCGTGAATCCGTTAGTATCAGCTCCTACTGCTGAAATTAAAAGTGAAATATTTTGAGAAAAATAACGGAACACAAATTTTGGTTTTTCTTTTTGTCCTGGAATATATATATATATATATATATATCAGATCACTGGAAAAGATAAGTGACAATTTCCATTGCAAATAGGTAGAAATAAATTCACAAACAAAATCAAAGAAATAATCAACACGATGAATCAGGTCATTATTTACCTGTGCCGATAATACAGTACACTACCTGAGTTTCTTCAAAGATAACACGTTACGGTTTCAAACAGATTCTAATACATAACACGACCGTAGTACATTTATTTAGGCATTTCTTCAAAGATAATAAAGGTAATAAAGATAATAAAATGATGTTAACCGCTAAATCCATAATACTTACTACTAGCCAACACCATAACTGTTTATTTTATATGGGCTTAGGGTAATTAATTAATTAGGTACATTTATCATTATTAAGTCAAACTATCAAGAAGTTAAAATAAACTATTTTCACAAGATAAAAGAACAGCAAAATTAAACTATTTTCACAAGATAAAAGAACAGCAAAATAAGTTTGTTTTGTTGAAATAGGGACAACAGGTTGCTAGGTTGCTATAATTAGTATACAGTCGGATACTGAACAAATAGATTTCAATAATCCGTAATAGATATAATACGCAACTAATAATGTCGCATGGATGGCTAACATTATTATTAACAAATGTAAGAGAAATTCTGTTATAACTAAACTATAATCCATCATTAGATGATTTAATAGATGGAGTAAAAAAGAAATTTAATTGTTCAAATCACTGTTTAGAAGGAGAAATAATTACCACAATTCAGGATACCATTCGCGGTACCATCAATAGACGATAAACGACCATTAAATTGGCCACCTGCTGCAGCTGCGCTTGCTGATGCGGCACGAGCGCCTGAGCGATTTGTCACTCGGTTACGTCGTCGTAACGTTTGTTTATCACCTAGCTCTGGTACAACAGTCCAGAAATGACCTAAAATTTGATATCAGTTTAAATAACACATAAATGGTAAATATTGGAAGAGGGAGATACATTTCAATTTGTAATTTCAAATTGAAAATATCACCTCTGATATAACTACTCAAATTTCAAAGAAAATGAAATTAATAAGTCGAATATTGAAAAAAACATATAGAAAATAAAAAAAAATAAAAATTAGGAAAACACCCACCAACAACACCGCTAGCAGATGTTTGTTTTAGAGGTAATTTAACGAAGCAATCATGCAAACTCAAATTATGACGTATCGAATTTTGCCAACCCCACTGATCCGGTCGTAAACGATAATATGGATGTGTCATACGGATCACCTATAATTTGTTGACATTATCTGAAGTTTACTAATAATACGTGTATTATGTTTTTTAAATAATCAATAACTAATGAAATAATTTATTTCTTATTTTTTCGAGAATAATGAAAAATTTTCCAATTTTTTACTTATATAATAAACAACACAAAATCTGAAACAAAAACTTATTTTCTAAAATAAAATGGAAGATAAAGAAATATAAATATAGAAATCAATGGATGTAAGCTCATCCTACAACTCCTGGATCAACTTATACCTATATTTTTGGAACCTATATTTTTTTCATACAACTGTGGTATTTGAAAATCAAGATGAAGAGAGAAACACAGAGAAACAGAGAGAAGGAGGGGAAGGAGAGAGAAAAGGAAAAGAATGCTTTCTCTCAGAATTGTG